CTTTTTAGCGCACAGATGCGGCCTGATCAGATATTCGGCTTTTCCGACTGGTTGGACACGCCAGAGGAGAAGGATGCCTGGGAGGCGCTTTTGGCTGAGGGGGCGCGGGGGGGGTGTCTCTAGATGTGGCCTTGATCAGGAGCCACTTCAGCCACCTGCTGGTGCCTCCCACATCCTTCTCCTTTAATCTCTGGTTCTTTTTTCCCCTTTCCCCGTTTCCCTTCCTGGCCTTTCTCTTTTTCTTTCCCTGGCCACTTTCTGTCTGTCTGTTTCACACCAGTCAAACGCTCCCCGCCGGCTGGAACAGAGAGGGTGCCCTTGATGCTTTCCCCAGCAGCCCTGCCCTCCGATAACCCCTCCTGTCTCCTGCTTCCTGCATTTTTGTTGCTGTTGTGACAAGAGCGAGCCCGGGAGGAATCTGGGTTTGCTGCCGCTCCAGGACTGTTTTTTTCCCTTCCGAGCGCTGACCCTGGGTGTTACAGCCCCGGAGCGCAGCTGGGTTAGGCCTGCATGATGTGTGGTCGAGTGTCCCACGTTCCTTGTGCCCCATCCCAGACCCCCCTCTGTCTCCTGGCACAATCAACCCCACCAGGCTCTACACAGAGGGACCGGTCGGTATCCAGCTGTTTGTCACATGGCTTGGCTCGCCGTGGCCCATCGCGGCTCGCTGTGCCGGCACAGCGCGGGCTTGGAGGGTGCCGGGTGGCTGGCACAGGGGGCTATTCAGAGAGTTATCGGGGGGCTTAATCTCACGAGCCGGCCTGAGCCGAAGAAAGGCTCCGTGTTGTGAATGCCCGATAAGGGTTGCGGCCGCAGCGGAGCGTGACGCGCTCATCTGGATAGGGAGAGCGTGGAAAGCGCTTTATGCCCTGGATAGATTGCTTGGATCTCGGTCGGGACTGGGAGTCCCGTGGGGGGCAGGAGGCGGCTGGCTGAGCGCGATTAAAATCTGCATCCCCTGCCTGATGGAGCTCTCTGTCTCAGAGCAACCGCCTTAGGGGACGGAGCAGTCCAACCGTGCCGAGGCAGAAAGCACACAATAAAGCCAGACACTAAGGCACAATTTGCACCCAGCGCAGCTTCCTCCTGCTTGGAGCCCGGCTCAGCTGCGTGTGGCTTTACCTTTCTGCACTTGGGTTCACGCTGGTCACAAGAGAGTGAATCCTCCGTGCAGGCAAAGCCTGGGTGAAAAGCTGAGCCTGGGTGAAAAGCTCAGATCCATTCTCTTGGGCACAGGATTCTGGTCTGGTCTGGTCTGCAAATGTCCCAGATTAAACAACTTCAAGCCAAGGGGGCGACATGCCATTCCCTCAGCGTCGAGAGCAGGGCTGGGAGTGCCGGCCTCTGCTATTGTGAGCTGGAGCAGCCCGAGATGTCCCTCCGGCTATGGAATTGCCAAGTCGTATTCTACGATAATACTGTGCTCTTCTGTTCTGCCTTTGGCTGAGGCTCTCCTTGTCCTTTAAAACATCCTGTGTATTCAGGCTCGCCTCTCCCCTACAAGGAAGCTACATGATCACCCCTCCCCCCATTTACAGGTGGGGAAACTGAGGCACAACGCGGTGAATAGAATTGTCTGAAGTGATGATGGGAGTTTGATCCAGGCACCGGAGCTGAGCCCAGATATCCTGAGTCCCAGCTGTATCCACCAGGCCAGCCTTCCTCTTGAACCGCGATTCTTATCTCCTTCCAGTCCACCCCCTCCCAGCTGCCGACCTCTGTTCCAGTCATTACAAATCTTCCCCTTTTCCTCCTGTCGTTTTTTCACCTCCACCCCCCAGAATGTTTCACCCCTTCTGCTGTTCGGCCCCAATCCCATTTTGCTGCCACGTTTCCTGCGACGGAGCTTGAGCCTGTCAGCCGGGTCTAACAGCTCCGAGTCCCCACCGGCCGGCCTCTTGCGCAGCCATTCACAACAGGGCAAATTTGCACCCACTTTGCTTAGGTTTAACAATGAAAACAATACTGCCTAGCTCTTACATAGCACGGTACGAAGGAAGGCAGAATCCTTATCCCTGTTTTACAGATGGGGAAACTGAGGCAGAGGGCGTTGTTGTGACTGGCCGGTGGCATAGCCAGGGCTAGAGCCCAAGTCTTCTGAGTCTCAGTCCACTAGGCTACCCAGGCCAGTGGAGAATGGGGCCCAGGGTGCCGGGCAACGCAGAGTTGGGCCCCGGGAGTAAACTTTTAAGAAGCACCCAAGTGACTAAGCAGCTGAAGTCTCATTTTCCAAAGGGACTTAGGAGCCTGCGACTTGTCTGGGCAGGAAAGTGATTCTGGAATCAGGTAGGGCGTGAGCTGAAAACACTACAGCTGTTCCAGAATAAGTGCGTCCACGTGGGATGTTATTCCACAATAGCTTGGCTGGTCGATTTCCCTGGGTAGACAAGCCCCAAGCTTTCCCATTGAAAGTCAATGGGAGAGAGGCTCCTAAATCACTTAGGGGGCTTTGGCTAATTTTATCCCATCTCTTTGTTTTGTGCGTGTCTCTCTTAGGGGCCAGGGGAAGAGCAATAAAATCATCTCGCAGATGGAAAAGGGGAACATGGCGGGAGTGGAGTTATCACCACATTTATCTGTCTCGCAAGGCCCGCCAATCACGACACCCGGTTCTCCTCACCGGATCTCCGAGCCCTTCACAACCTGTAATGGATTTATCCTCACGACGCCTCAGGGAGGCAGGGCAGTGCTGTTGTCCCCACTTTCTCTGTGCCTCGGTTTCCCCTAACTGCGAAATGAGGTTAACGCTACTGACCTCCTTTGTGAAGCGCTTTGAGATCTGCTGATGAAAAGTGCTAGGACAGAGTCTATTATTCATTACAGAGGCAGGGTGGGGGAGCTAATATCTTTTATTGGACCAACTTCTGTTGGGGGAAGGGGCAAGCTTTCGAGGAACACGGAGCTCTTCCTCAGGTCTGGAGAAGGTAACCTGAACCTCCAAGCTAAATGTAAGGTAGGACTGATTGAGTATGTGGGGTTCACGCACATGCTGTAGGACACCCCTTTAAATGGAGTGGTCAGTTATGTGTTAGCAGGCAGCAGGGTGTGTTACCTGGTGTTGTGATGAGCCAGAAAACCAGAGTCTCTGCTGAGTCCATGGTTTTGAGTGGCCGGAGGAGTTATGAATTGACACCCTGGCAGCCTCAGGACACTTACGAGGCCCTGAAGCGGCTGTTTGTTTGTTGGCGCATGCAGGCGGGAGATTTCAGTGGCCTGTTGTATTTCCCGCCGTTGGAAACGGGCTTGGAGTGTTGGTTTATTCCAGTTCTGCAGAGCTCCCCGTCAAGTCCCGCAAATGGGGCAGGAGGAAGGGTTGCAGGATCGGGCCTGTCATTGGAGCAGCTTTGTGGGGACGGGAGGGTTGGGAAGAGGCCTTCCCCATCGGAGGGATCCGTTGGCCAACAGCCACAGTCGCCGCAGGGACGGGTCTGCCCTGTAATCTTGTGGAGCCACGTGACGTGCGGCGAGGCCCCATGGAACCAAAAGAGTGGGGGCCCAAAGGTGAAGCGTGTCTCTAAAGTACAGCGTGTCGTGTTGCAGAGCTCGGGGAGCGGGAAGGCGGGGCGGCTGGCAGGGGGCCCCAGGGCCTGCAGATTACACCCTGCGCTGCCTCTCGGCATTCCTTTGGTTGGCTGATTGAACGGGGCAGCTCCAGCCGGGCTGTGGCAAGTCTGCTTCCCACACCCTGCTGGGGAGACGGTGCCATCAGACTTGGTAGATCCGCCCCCCCCCCATTTCTCCCTTGGCGTCTTGTTCGGTCTGCCACAGGCAGCCAGGGTGCGCTTGGCTTTTTCAGTGGCCCAGACGTCCAACCCATAGAGCGTCTCCCTGGGTGTCTGGTGACCCAGCTGAAAATCCGGCAGCCACCAGCTGGGAGCTGCCGATTGTCCGATCTGGGTGTCGGTCAGAATCTGCCCGCTGCCGTCAGGCGATAGCACCCTTTATTGTGGGGGGGGTGGCAAGGAGGGGATGGCTGCAGAGAACAGAAGGAGGCGGCTGGCTGCCTGCAGGAAGGGAAGGAGGAACTGGAGGCTGCTGCGCCCCAGGCCCTGGGAAGTGGGATCTGCTCCAGGAAGTGTTGAGTGCCAGTGCCCACAGTGATGCCCGCCCCCTGCCCCCTTCCCGGCTTCCCCCATGCTCTGGTTCTCACCAGGGGTGTAATTGGAAGGGGAAGTTTTTTTCATGCTGCCCCTGTCCTAGCAGTTCCCCTCCCCACGGCCTCCCCGGGCTCCAGCACACTGCCTTTGGCCTTCCCCAGCCACATCCCCCTCCTCACGCTGCCCCGCCGGCTCCCCATTCGCTCCGGGATCCAGTTCAAAAGCCCCTGCCTCGTTCGCCCCTCGGTCCAGCCAGCCACGCAGCACTTGTCTCGCTCTCTCCCCCACTGTCCGTGCACTGGCCTCGTCTCCCTCCAGCTTCACACACGCTCCCGGCAGCCGGTGCAAGAGCCTTCTCCAGCGCAGCTCCTGCCAGTCGGGTCACTTCAGCGATACCGGTCTCATTACCAGGGTAGACCCCGGCCTCAGTTGAGGGTCCTTATGCCAGTGTAGCTATTCCTGTGTGGGAAGGGGAATAAACGAATGTACGGATAGGAATTTCTCTTGGGACATGGAAACTTTTTGACTGTGCCCAGGAGCAGTTCAGGGTGGGAAATGTAGACGGGTTTCCTGGGCCAGGGCCAGTCTTTTTTCTCGACACCTGTATAGCGCCTGGCACAACAAGGCCCTGGTCTTGGATTGGTGTTACCATGACGCCAACAGTGCATCACAATAATGAATTAGCCCCCAGAGGCCCAGCTGCGATCGGGGCCCCGCAGTGCCAGGCGCTGCAGACAGAGGTGAAATGAATTAACCCAGGTCGCCCAGGAGGCTGGTACCCCCAGTGCCGTAACCACCAGGCCGGCCGTCCTTTCATGGGGCTGACATGGGGGGCCAGGAGGGAAGAACACAGTAATCCAAGTGGAGATCTGCCTTAACCGCTTTCTTCTTGCCCCCTGACAGCCGCCGCTGGGCCGGAGAGATGGGACCTCTCCGAATGACAACGCCCCCCTGGACGAGTCCTTCCCCTGGGTGGGGCCGAAGACGGTGCTGCTCCGGAAGAGCTCGCAGGGGGGGTTCGGCTTCACCCTCCGACATTTCATCGTCTACCCCCCGGAGTCGGCGGTCCACTCCAATGTCAAGGTAGCACTGCCTGGCTCCGTCAGCCTGGGGGGCGTGTCCATTTGGAATGGGCTGGTCACCTGGGAGGAAGACCCCTCCCTCTGCTGAGTACAACGATAGCATTATTTGAGGGGGGTTGGGAGGAGTGGGGAGAGAGGGCAGCTGTTTTGGGTCCCCGTTCTCCCACGACAGGCCTGGATGTTGATCCCTATCAAATTCCCCAGGGTGATTCATGTGGGTGAACGTTACCGGGGTCCCCGAAGGGGAAACAACCCAAATAAGCCAATTTCCCTGGCTGCCTCCCAGCTGTTATATGGTAGCAGCCTCCCTTCAAATTCTGCCTGCTTAAGAAGTCACTGGTTCCCTCCCTCCCCACAGCCTGTGCTGGGCCGGGAGTCTGACTACCTGACCGTGATCCCTCCTGGGAATCTCTGAGTCTCCGCAATCTGATGCACTCAGCTCAGGGTGGTCTCTGGATCCGGTGTGAGCGGCCCACAGCGCTGCCTTCCCTCTGGCCCATGGAGCGTCCTGACTCTCTTGCTCAGACTGTCCATTGCCTTGGCTTGCATCTCTCCCATGTGCTTTGAATTCTGCATATTTCCACTGGGGACAGGCACCCCACAGTCCCCCAGTTTTTTTGCTCTCCCACCCCTCTTAAGACAAAACCCTTGAAATTCCAACTCTCTGTCCCAGGCACTGTCACTCCAAAGTGGCTGGTTCCCCCTTCCCCTTTCTCTCCCATGGTTCAACCACCCACCCCGCATTGCCCTCCATGGATGCTCTCCAGCATCACCCCTGGTTTAAATATCTGCAGAAGCCTTGCATCATGGTGACCTCCCTCTGGCCAAGGTGGACACTGGATGAGCCTGGCCAGGGCCTTGGCTGTAGGTATGCAGGCCTCCTCCCCGGGGCTGAACGTGCTGCATCCATAGCATGCTCTTCCCTGGCTCCAGCCAGCTAGTGGCAGAGAAGATGGCCCCTGACGGTCCAGGGAAGGAAAGCTGGCTTAGATTTCCCCGCACTGTTTGTGCTTTGGTTGTGGAGTGGAAGGGCAAATGGAGGCGAATGGATCCGCTCCAGGCCTGGTGAGAACCATGGTGTCTGGCCAGTGAATGGGGCCACAGCTGAAGGAGAAGCCCCCTCCCCCCAGCTCTCCACCACTAAACGCTACTGTCTTAATGAGAAACCGATGGCTCTGAGCGGCCACCAGCCCTGCAAACCCACCGCTGCCTGGTGACTCTGCCTGTATGCTCTGCCCGTCTTGCCATAGAATGGAGTGAAATAAGTCCCTTAGCTACTCAAGTTGCTACTGTGGAGCCCATGCCAGAGGCATAGTTGGTTGCTTCAGGACTATTGACCCAGAGGATTTTCCTCCTGCTTGACTGGGGCATTGGCTCATCGGGTCTGGTATCTTTCCTCCAAGAGAGGCCGATGCATGTTGCTTTTGCGGTATCCCCTACCGTGCAATGCCAAGTAGGGGGGAATTCCTTCCTGTTCACTGCCGCCGGCGGAGGCCTCCCTGAAGCATGGCGTTTGCCTACCCGATTGGAGAGATTGGAGACCCTACAACCGTCTCCAGCGTTGCTGTTTGACTCCCTGACCCGCTACCGCCTGGAATTGCTGCCGGCCTGGCCCCTGCGGCACTGCAGATGTGGATGGGGACCTTCGCTCGCCTCCCCAGATGTACCACGGCCAAATGGCTGGTGTGTGGGGCGATCCCAGCGACGGGGGCTGGCTTGCTCTGCGATTGCTATCGAGAAGGCTGCTGCGGATCTGGGTGTGCGGGAGCCCGGGGAGTGTTGCAATGCCCAGCTGGGGAGCCAATCAGCTTCCTCATTCAGGGTTGTGGACCCTCTCCCGTAGCTGTGCTGCTCGCCCCCAGGGATGCATCCCAGAACCCCGTATGCCTGTCCCCAGAAGAGGGAGTTGTGGTGGGGTTTGACTCTGCTTGTAACTGAGCTGTGTGGAAGGGTAGGGAGCCGGGGAGCATCGCAGCCCCCCACCCCCTGCCCAGCTGCTGGCGCCCCCCGGGTTCAGGCTGAGAACTGCACCTTCGGCACACAATTTAACCCCTTCACCGCTGAACAGCAGGCTAGACAGGCGCAGCCGATGGGCTCCCTTGAAACGGTCCGAGGGACGGGGCCTGCCCTGATGTTCCCTAGCAGGGCACGTCCGCGGCAGCAAATGGCGATTAAAGCAGCCAGCCGGGGCAGGCGATCTGGACGCTTCACCCGGCACAATTCGTGCAAAATAACCCCCGAGTTTCAGGGAAATATTAGTTCAGCTGAGGCCTGGGTGGGGCCAAATGAGTTCTGCCCGTGGAGTGCGGCGGCATTACGGGGGGAGAGCAGATGTATCCAGCCCCCTGCCGTGGAAGGGATCCCCTGCTTGATTCCTAGATTCGCCCCCTTGGACCTTGGGGAGACAGAGTGGGGTGGGGGGGGGGCACAGCTGATTGCTGCAGCCTCGGGGGTTGGGGAGGAAGAAGAGGTTTCAGTGGCAGAAAATCACAGCAACACAGGAGCTGCCAAAGCAAAAGCGCCCGAGTCTGCTCTTGTGCCCAGGGCCTGGTGTCTCAAGGGAAGCTGTCGCCTCTCCTCTGCCCCGGGGCCGTGCGGCTGACCAGTTGCACAACGCTTCCTTTCGGACCCGGCGCCCCCCGCGCGCCTCCCCTCCCTTCCCAAGCGGGGAGCAGCCTCTGCCCTGCAGCGTGAGGATTTGTCGGAACATTTTTTGACCCGACTCCTTCCCTTTGTACAGCTGCCTCTGTTTGTTGGTGGGTGCCCGTAAATCCCCCTGTGCAAATCCCGCCGAACTGTTTGCTTTGCTGAGCGCCGGTGGCGACAAATTCCACAGGTTCGCTACACGCTGCCTCCGGCAGATTGACTGGTAGCAATTTTACAGCTTTTCAGAGTTACTGCCTGTCGGGCGGAGGAGCTCCTTGCTTTGCTGTGGCAGGATGAAGAGAAATGGCGGCTGGTTTCTTCGTTAACCAGTCATTATTTATAAATCATCTCCCACCCAGCTCCTCTCTAACCGAAACAGGACAAGCCTTTTTTATCTCCCCTCCGGGACCTCTTAACAATCCGAGCTGTAAAACCCCAGGGACCACTCAATTCGACTTGGACTGCTCCCGAAAGGTATTTGTGTAAAGAGGAAGGATTATCTTATGGGTCAAGACCCTTGGCTGGTCCTCAGGAAACCTGGGGTCAGTTCCTGCCTCTGCCACTGACTCCCTGGGTGACCATGGGTAAGTCGTTTAATCTCAGCCTGCATTCTCCAGCCTGTACAACGGAGAAAGGAAAGATTATTTCCCACCTTCCGTCTTGCCTGTTTAGATGATAAGCTGTCATTGGAAGGAGCTGTCTCTTGCTGCTGTGTAGACCCTCTTCCACCCCCGCCTTGAGCTCGGTTGGGGCCACTAACCTCTGCTATAGTTAACAACATGTAGAATACATGCCTAGTTCGTGCATGAAGGTATTTACAGCTTTGGCGTGTAAGCCAGGCGGCCGCGGGCACGTGCCCAGTTGCACGTGGGGCACGCTGTGGTTTTCCCACATCGTTTTGCAGCCGTTCCAGCGCCTGGAGTTCATTTTGTGCTCGACACAGGACCTGGCCCCAGATCCATGGCTCACGTTTGCCCCTCTCTGCTCTGTCCTCGGTTCGACTGCCACCCTCCGCCCCACAGGTGGCTGCGTTTCGCTGGTGCTGTAGGGTAGGTACTTGCCGTGAAATCTGCCCGAAGAACCCGCTCCAGCGGCTGACCTGATTGGGTGGAGGTGGAGTGGGACGGTACCTCCCTGTGTTTGGGGCAGATTGCCTTACGCGGGCAGCTGGTAAAATACTCCAGGATGAACATCTGCCAACTTGGAATTTCGTTGGCTGGAGACGTGAGACCCTTTGGGGTGGGGAGCATTTAATGACGGAGGTACACGCAGGGCTTTATCATGGCTGCTCAGGACCAGTTCCTTCGCTAAGTCATTTCCTCCCCCTGGCCACCCGACTTGTTTTGGGAATCAAACAGCGTCTTGTCTCCAGGTGGCCTTTGATCTTTCCACCACGTATTTGCAGACTTTGAAACGTCTGACAATAGCACCCAACTGTTAGCCCCTTTCCCCGTCCTGCTCCACGATGGATGTGAGGAGCCCGTTAAAACGGAGCTTTGTGTGACGGCAGCATCTGGAGTCGTCTGACGTTGAGATGTGTCCCTCGGCTGCATCGGGGAACGTGTGGCAGCGAGACAGGACTGCGGTACCTCAGCACCAAATCCTGAAGCCTCCAGCACAGAGACCTGGCTCTCTAACCTCTGCTGTGCATGGAACCGTGACATGACGTCCGAAAGCACAGGGCCCAAGAAACCCCTCGGCTGTATCCCAGCCCAGGACCTGAAAACCTGCATCCAGAAACTCTGACGCCGAGCCCTAGCTGCATCTGGGAGCTGTTCAGAAATCCCTTCCCCGGACACAGGCCTGCTTTTCTCCTGCTGCGTGACAGGGCTCCGACGTGGGCCTGACTCCTGTCTGCCCTTCCCCGGGGCGGCCTGGTGCAGAACTGGCAGCGTGAGTGCGACGAGACCACCCGATAACTCCCTTCCGCGTGGGACTGTGGCCTGGCCGCTTTCCCCTCCACCCTCTTTCCCAGCACTGCCGAGCTGTCCCAGCGAGCGGCGGGGATCCCAGGCACCGAGCGGCCTGTCCCGAGCAACCCCCAACCCCAGCACTGTTTGCTGGCGGCAGTTTCAGATTCAGAGTCTGGCCTGGAACTGCTGACCAGGCGGGACTCAGCATTGCGGCCGGAGCCAGCGCCTTTGTCTGGGTCACTTTGGAAAGGAAAAGCAGGTTTCTGGCAGGCCCGTTCAAAGGTTGCCTGGGGGCTGGAATCGCTTGGATTCTCTCCCCTCTCTTCTGTGCAGTGTCCTTCAGACAAAGGGGGACCTGTCTTGGAGAGCCCGGTGACCCCTGGGGCACTCCATCCTTAGAGGTTTTTAAGGCCCGGCTTGACAAAGCCCTGGCTGGGATGATTTAGTTAGGGATTGGTCCTGCTTTGAGCAGGGGGTTGGACTAGATGACCTCCTGAGGTCTCTTCCAACCCTAATCTTCTGAGAGTCCATGCAGCCCCCTGCCTGACTCTGTAGTGCCCCCAAGGTTCCCCCACCCCCAGCTCTCGTCACGCCACTCTCTGAGTCGCTAGTGGGGTTCATCCTCGCCGTGCCCTGTGCTAGCCTCACTGTCCAGCTGGGGGAGCGAGCCCCAGGGTAGGTTCAGTGACTTGCCCAGGTCTCCTGAGTCCCAGCCCAGTGCCTGATCCACTCGATCATCCTCCCTATTTCTTGCACAAAGTCTCACTTTTGCCTCCCTTCCCACACGCGGGCGCCAGGGAGTGTCCCCCCCTCCCCCCGCCACTTTCCTGCCCACACTAAAAATATAAGTCGCCCCAACTGTGCAAAATGGGCCTGGAAATGTACCAGCCCAAGCACCCAATCTCCTTGCCTGCCATCCCTGGATGCCAATAGGTGCAAAAGGGGGGTGGGTGTTTTACTCGCCCGTAAGTAACACCGATGACACCTCTCCTACTCTCCCTGGGTGAGCAGATCCTTTCCCAGGCTGCTGTAACCAGCTCCCACCCATCCAGAAACCTCCATCCGGCCTCCTTTCTGCCTCTGCATTTCTTGAAGCATCACAGGGCTCCCCGACCTTGCTTCCCGGAAGCGCCCAGGAGGGAGGTGTGATCCTGTCTAGGGCAGGTGCAGAACAACGCCAGAGGACGTCGTGAAGGCCAAGACTATACCAGGGTTCAAAAAAGAACTAGATAAGTTCATGGAGGATAGGTCCATCAATGGCTATTAGCCAGGATGGCAGGAATGGTGTCCCCAGCCTCTGTTTGCCAGAAGCTGGGAATGGGCGACAGGGGATGGATCACTTGATGATTCCCTGTTCTGTTCATTCCCTCTGGGGCACCTGGCATTGGCCACTGTTGGAAGACAGGACACTGGGCTAGATGGACCTTTGGTCTGACCCAGTCTGGCCGTTCTTATGTAATGAGCGTAGGGCCTAGTGATGAGAGGATTGGGAAGCACCCGGGATCCCCGGGCATGGGAGCCCGAGTTAGGCCTGGAAAGAGCAGGAGGGAGCTTTGCACCCCGGGATCAAGGCCATGAATTGGGGGCTGGTGCTTGGCAGAGGGACCCGTGAATTGATCAGGGATGCTCCAGGCGTAGGGTCCCCCCGGTGGTGCTCGGAGCGAAGGGCAGCTGTTCCCGGGATCAGAACCGGTTTGGAAAGCAGCAACGCAAGGCGTGGAAATGCAGCTTGCTCCACAGCCGCCGGCTCTCGGGTGGTGGAGCCGGGCCCCAGGCCAGACCTGGGGGGCAGGTTTCGGTGGAGCTGACTCAGCAGGGAGTGAGACAGGAGCTCTGCATTCCACACAGCGCCGGCATCACACCTTTCCGTGCCACGGGGGAGACAAACCCCCACGCCCCCTGGGTTGCCCGGCTTGGCACAGGAGCCAGGGCAGGCTGGGGGGGAGGGGAGAAGCAGGGTGGGGCTGCGGAGGAGGAAGCCTTGGGCTTAAGGGAACTTTCCCATCCCACTCCCTTCCCGCGGCCCCAGGAGTTCGGTAGCTGGGGGTGTTTGTATCCCCCCCCCCCCACTCGCCAGCTCCGCTGCTTTGACTGAGCAGTTCGGGGAGGGAGCTGCCACCTCGATGACCCCATCCAGCTGGGCTTGGAAAAACTCCTTCCCCTCGGGTTCGGGGGGGGGGGCTGCTTCCCCTTTCTTCTCCCCACCCCTGTGCAATCGCAGGTCTCTCCTCGCGCCGAGAGTCCCCCGGGCTGCAGGATGGGACGGCGTGTCCAGGCTCCCCTGCCTGGAGGCTGATCAACCTGTGCCCCCCAGCCAGGCGGGGATCCCAATGTGGGACCTACCTGCCACGGTCGCAGGCTGCATGTCCTGACAGGGCCCTGCCCCCCACTTCCCCGCTTCCCATTGACCCGGAGCTGTGGGTTAACGTGGGGAATCCTGGCCTGTGACTCTTGGCAGCTTCTCCCCAGCTCATGCCCTCCAGGCGACCTAGAAAGTGACATTCAGGGGAGCCCAGCAGAGCTGGAGTCTAAGACGTCTCGGGCGTACCTTGGAGCATCCCCCCAGTGTCAGCCCCTGACTGGGACCAGCTGGGGTCAAGCCATGATCAGAAACATCAGCTCTGAGTTCGGAGGGATCCCCCCCCTGTGCTCCCAGCCCATCCCCACGTCTGTCTTCCAAAATCCAGACGCCTCCTTCGCTCCCCCCTCCCAGCTCCAGATCTTGTCAGCTCACGTCGTGGCATAAATAACGCAGCACCGCGAAGACGGCCCCTCCGGCCGAAACCGGCACGTGGCCTCCCGCGATTCACCCTGGATAATCATTACAGCACTAAATATAGCCACGCTCGCAGCTCGGGACCGGCCTCCAGAGAGCATCACCGGAGCGGCGCTTCTGGAAGGGGGAGACTTTCAGCCCCCCGCGGCAGGGCGCTTCCCTTCCCTCTGCCAGCCCCTCTGTTGGCGTGGACGCTGGGTCTGGTGATTAGGGTGGCACCATCAGCTTTCTTCCGAGGCGCCTGGCAAGGTTTTGGCCCTTGTAACCCGGGGTCGCTGCCTCCAGATTGCCCCCTTATGGCACGGGGCGGCCCTGCAGCACCCAGCCCTCAGTTTCCCTTCTCGGGTCTTCACAAGAACTCTGCAACCCAAAATACTTCACAAGGTTCCGTCTGGTGTATTGAGTCCTGGCAACGATGTCTCCCCCCCCCGCCCCCCCCCCCCCGCCAAAAGGACTTCACTGCTATGTATAGCCCCGATCGCTCCTCTGAAGCTCTTCTGCTTCCCTTGCTCGTTGTCACGTTGCCCATCTTGGATTCCCGTCTGACGGGACGCGGGAGAGGGCTCAGAGCCTGCCTCCCCCGGCTGTCGGAAGCTGGTAGCTCACCAAGAGCAGGGAGCTCGTCTCCCGGGGACGGAGTGGGTGGGATTTGCAGTGCTGCCTGGGGGATTTAGACACCCAGTCCCCATTCAGTTTAATGGGAGCTGGGCGTCCAAATCCTTTAGGCTGCTTTGCAGATTTTTCGATTGCTCTGCAGTGACCCCTTTGGCTGACTCGGGAATTGCAGGCAGGGGACAGGGAAACAGGGTAGCCCGAAGGGCTCAGGGGGAATGTCTATTTCCCCAACCTACCGGTCCTTCCCAGCCCACGACGGTGCCTTGATTGGTCCGGGCGGCTCTATCCCTCATTGCCTCTGCTCCAGACCCAGCCAATCCTGATGGGGTTAAATTGGCACCTTCTGTTTCCCTCCGGCAGTGCCAGCTGCCCACGGCATCCCACAGCGATCACCCCAATCGCACCAGGGTCGCCCCTCCTGACACAGGCTCCTGCTGTGGGGGGAGAGGATTTACCCTTGCGGTGGGGGCCCAACTTTACGTTCCACCCAGGGGCCGGCAGAGGCTACTCCAGGGATCCCCGATCGTGGTGCCCCGCCCCCCAACTCCTGGAGCGGTGCTGACCCCTTATGGGAGAGAGGAGATTACAGCTTCGTTCTCCAGCAGGGCCCTGGGTGAGCAGAGCCCACAGCCCGGTGGCCCCAGGGGGCTGTGATTGTTTCTTCCGGGGAACAGGGGAGCCGAGTTTGCACCCACCCTCCCGGCAGCTGTATGACCGGATCAGGGCTTCCTCTGAGGCCGTCAGAAAGGGCAAACCTGCCGTGCGCTCTCCCCTTGGCTAGTCCCCCATGGCCGGAAGCTGGGATGGCCATTATACAGTCGCTGTGAGGGAGAATAAACCCCGCCCCCCCGCTGAGCTGGATGTGCTGACGCCCAGGGAGATCCTGTGTCAAGAGTTAATTTTACCCTCTGGGCAGTCCGGGCGGCAGAGGGAGGATAAGAAGGCACCAGGTCAGTTTGCTGGTGTTTCGGTGCCCCAGAGGTTACCCGTGCTCCCTGCTGCCGGGTTTCCCCCCTTCGCGTTAATCAACCGTCCCGAGGGATCTGCCCCTCTCCCCGCTCTTTCGGACTCCTCCAAAGCCTCTGTGACATTGGTCTCTCTCTCTTCCCTGTGCAGGAGGAAGAGAATGGAAACCGAGGAGGTAAGCACCCATCTCTGGCACCCTGCCGCCTGTATCGTCTATGTATGTGCGTGTGTGTGTGTGTGTGTCCCCGTGTGGCCAGACACGTATGGATGTCCGTGTGTGAAAGGGAGCCGATCGGTGCTCTGGCCTGCGTTACCGACCAACCCACACTCAGTACCTCCCCGCCAGGGAAGTGATTGCAGACGATGGTGGTTTGCGAAATGCACCAGGCCGCTGAGCAGCGGATCAGCGTAGCAGCCGCCTGGCCAGGCAGGGAGGGGGGATCTTTCCAGCACGGACGAAATTACCCGGTTCCCCTTAGCGTGAATGGCCAAGCCGCTGAAATAAACCGAGGCCTGAGCTGAACCGGCTCAGCGATTGAGTGGCAGCTCCGTCGCACTCAGAGATGGACAAGCTGGGCACCCCCAATGCCAAGGGAGGCTGCCCTGCCTGCTGGGGCGATCTCAGGCCGTGCAGGAGGAAGCCCGTGTAGAGATGCTGTGGTACGATCCCCCTAACATCCCAGCCATTCGGGGGTCTCTGTCCCCTTCCCCCGCTTACTAGCGATTGCATTATTCATCCCCGAATCCGTTAGGTGATGCCCCATTGGCAATACCTAGATCTGCAGCTTGGGCACTTCCCCACATCTCCGCCCCTAGCTAGGACCTTCCTGACTAGATCCCAGCCCCAGCTGGTTCTCCCACCTCCCCCGGCTGCCCGGATGCTCTTCGTTGGCTCCGGCTGTGAGCCGGCCGCAGACCGGGTGCTCCTGGGAAGGGATAAAGCTGGTTTTGGTGCTGTTCATCCCTCCCCAGGCTGGGAACTGTGCCTTGCCCTAGATTTACAGCGTTTCCCCTCAGGGAGGCTGTGCTAATGCCCAGCTGGGGACATTTTGGTTTGGGGGGATCGGAGGGTGCACAGCGACTCCCTCAGCCTGTCGGCGGGTGCTTTGGGTGCCCGTCACTGGCTTTCGCCTTGTTTGTATCTGGATTCTAGGCCGCGGTTTCTTGGTGTCTTGCCCCAGCCAAGAGCCCAGCAGCTGCCCTGGGGGTTACAGTGCAAGACAGGCCCTCTGGCTCCCAGCCCCCGTCGTGTCGTGTCTGAGACAAGCGTCACGCTTGGGCAGTGGGCTAGCAACTGTGAGAGTCAGGCTGCCCGACCCTGCGGCTGCTCACCCGGCCGGAGCCAGGCTGAGTCTTGAGCTGTGCCCTCCCTGGCCGCAGCTCCGCCAGTGCTCTCCGATGTGACTGGCAACCCCTCCGCCAGCCTTCCTGTCATGGGGCCCATCTGCAGCTCTGGTCTGTGGTCTCCCTACTGTTCCACTCTTGGGCTCCCCCTGTGCACAGCTCTGCAAATACTTCTCAGCCCCAACACCCAGCCTCCTTCTGCTGTTCCTATTCTGGGCACCCCCAAACCCCCACAGCTCCGTCCTCAATCCCGACCCACAGCCCCTTCTGCTGCTCTGCTCCTGGGTCTCCCTCGCGTCTCTCCCAGTGCACCTCAATTCTGTTCCTGTCCCGGGCTCTCCTCCTCCTAACCCCTAGCTCTGGGGATGATCTACCTCCATCCTGGCCTACAGGGGTGCCCAGCCTGGCGCTGCCCCCCAGCCTGTCCTGCAGCACCCACGCTCTGAGGCCTCTCCCTGCACAGGGATCGCCAGCCCTGCAGAGTCACGGGGCGGGGGAGTGGGATTGGCCTTGTAGACAGATCCCAGACCAAGCTCCGATCAGGGCCCTAGAGGTGTACAAGTGTCCGTGCCTGAGTGGCGTCTGCTGAGGCCCAGGGGCACAGCGGGGAGACTGCGGGCGCTCCCGGGAGGGCACCTGGACGTGGGGGGGAGCCGTGACTTAGTTACCGAAGCTGCTCTTGGCTTGGCTTTGTGCAGAGGACAGGTCTGAAGCCCAGCACCCAGCCTGCACCTCCAGGCTGGAGTTGAGTTAACCGGATCTGATGCAGTCAGAACGGATAGCCACACGCCGGGCTTGACGGAGAACTTCCAGCTCTGGCCCCTCGCTCGACTCCAGCCCTGTGGGGAGGGGACTGGCTGCAGACGAAGCACGGCTGGAGGCTGGAGGGGGGCCCAGGTGATGGAGCAGGGCGCACACAGGTTACTCCTCAGGCACATCCCCTGCCCCTTCCTGCTCTGCCGTTCCCTGCCCATAACCCTGAACCACCCACAGCCTCTTGCTGTGACAGCAATCCCTTGCGGCCAAAGGATTGTGGGATGGGGTGGGTCGTGGCAAGAAATCGGGCCGGGGGGTTGGGTCCCAGGTGGGGAGAGGCTGAGAACCACCAGTTGAAGAGGGGCTGAAACCTTCCTTCCCTCCCGCCCAGGAGGACCTTGTCCCACGAGGGGGACACGTGCTGCCCGCTCTCAGATAATGTACGTCGCCCAAGGACCAGATTGTTCCTCTGGGTCCTGGCCTTTGAGGTCTGTGTTTGCCGATGTGGAGCTGCAGTGCTGGAACCTGCTGGTGGTTGTTTTAATTGCGGTGTGTGTTCTGTGTGGCTCTGGCAGTGCGTGTGTGTAGCCAGTGTGTATGCATGTGAGTGTCTTGTGTGTGTATGACTTGTGTGTGCGCTCAAGCACATGATACTGTGTGTATGTATCCAGTACACACGAGCGTGTGTGTATCCAGTGTGTGTGCGCTCATGCATGTAGCTCTCTGCGTGTGTAGCCAGTACACACGAGCGTGTGTGTGTATCCAGTGTGTGTGTGCGCTCATGCACATAGTTCTCTGCGTGTGTAGCCCGTACACATGAGCGTGTGTGTGTATCCAGTGTGTGTGTGCACTCATGCACATAGTTCTCTGCGTGTGTAGCCCATACACATGCACGTGTGTGTGTATCCAGTGTGTGTGTGCTCATGCATGTAGTTCTCTGCGTGTGTAGCCCGTACACATGAGTGTGTGTGTGTGTGTGCACTCATGCACGTAGTTCTCTGCGTGTGTGTGTCCAGTGAGCACGCGTGAGTGTGTGAGTATACAGCATGTACCCATCTTTCCCGTGAGGGACTCGCCTGGTGCCGAGCTCTGGTCTCTGACGCCCTTTCCTGTCCCTTTCCCGGCGCAGGTCCCCAGCGGAGCCGCCTGGAGCCCATGGACACCATCTTTGTGAAGAATGTGAAGGAAGATGGGCCTGCGCACCAGGCTGGCCTCCGCACAGGTGAGGGAGCCCCCCACTGGGTACCACGCACCCCACTGGGTGGGGGCGACCTGGGGAACTGTACTGGGAAAGCCAGTGGCAAAGTGCTCCTGGCGGGGATTGAAATCCAATGGACTGAGGGCTCACATGGGAAACAGACTGAAAAACCCTTCCAGTGAATTCAAATGCTTGGTAAACAGCTGGGGGTGAACAGGGCTTTGTTAAAGATTCAAACCCACGTTCTGGACTGGGGTCTCTAGGGTTACACCCCTTGACATTGCTGGGGTCTCTAGGGTTACAAACAAGCAGGCAGAAAACAATCTTTAGGCCAAATCAAGGCACAAATTCAGTGCCTGCCCTGTCTGTCTGCAGGGGCCCAAGGGACAAATCTGGCCGGCGCCTGTCTGCAGAGCGCAGGGCATGAGCTAAACCCCACTGAATACCAGGGGAGGCGCCGATGGAGGTGGGAGCAGAGAGGGAAGGAGACTGGCACTCCGTGTATTAGCAGCGAAGCCATTTCACGCAGAGGAGCGGGAGAGAAGCTTTGATTCCTCCTAACTCCAGCGAGTCCTGCCAGCCTCCCTCCTGCGCGTCTCTTAGCTCCGTTCAGCTGGGGGGGGGAACTGGTGGTGGAGCCGGGGCCAGAGCCAGCATCGCTTCTCAAGCGGTAATTAACTAATGGGGGGTGGGGAGTGGAAGTGCGTCCTGGGTGCACGGGACATGGCTGGGGCTTTCACTGCAGATCCCCTCACGGGTCCGTAGTCCCTGGCTCCACCCAGATGTCACCTTCTCAACCCCTTCCATGCTCTTCTTCGCTGTGTGCCAGCCACGTAGCCATACTGCAGCGCCCGGGGGCGTGCCCCTGCCATCCGGCGGCGGGCTGAAAGGGGAAGCTTGTTCACTAGCCAGCAGTGGGGAAGCTAGCTGTGCCACGTTAGGGTGAAAATCTCCCCCTCCATGGGGGGCGTTGGGGCAAAGGGTCCCTCCGGGCCTCTCGACTCTGAGCGAGCTCACTGCCTGGAAAGAAGGGGAGTCGCCGTAGCCCGGTGGCAGCAGAACCTAGGGAACCCCATAAGAGAACCTCACTGGACAGGCCTCGCCTCACAGCCTGGGGGAAAACGTCCTTGTCCTTGTGTGACATTTGTCCAACCGACGTCCTGTCCGCCCGAGTGGATCGTTCGCTCCAGGCTGTGGCTAGGGGCAGAGGGAAGGGGCTTTCTCTCTCCCCCCACCTTGCCCATTGCTCTATCCTACGAGCTCTGAAAGCAGTTGTCTGCTGCCACCATCAGCTGGTGCCCACACGGAGCAGCGCAGGGGCTGGCACTTTTGGGCCCCCAGGTGTCGGTGGCGACAGCAGTAACCGTTCTGCCAGCGCTCAGGGTGGGGATGGCATGTGCCCGGCTAAAATGACCAGGCAGTAAACCGGAAGGAAGGCGCTGAGTGTTGTGTCCTCTGGGCCAGACGTCAGCTGGCACGAACCTGGGGCGCTCCCTTGTCTTCGGCGGAGCAGTGCCGAGTGAGGCCAGGCGAGGGTCCCGCCCTGCCGGGGCTCCCTGGCCCAGCCGCTGAGCGCTCGTGAACAGGGACAGGGCTGCAAAGGGGACGGGTCGTCTGCCCAACGGGCTGAGGCAGGAGAGCAGTCAGAGAACAAGCCAGCTCCGTGTGCGCAAAGGCAAGAACGATTTCCAGCGCCATTGCTGGGGACGGGGGGGGGGGGCTCTCTTAACTCCACTGCCCCTCCTCCTGCGAGGTGCCGAGTGCCCCCAGCTCCCACAGGGAGCGGCACGCTATGGGCGGTAGCGCACGTTGCTATGGTTACCGCCAGCTGTGCTCGCTCCCGGTTGGCTAGCTGCTCTCCCATTCACGCGTGGGCCCGCGGTTATGTTCCCTCTGCAGGAGACCGGCTTGTCAAGGTGAACGGGGAGAGCATCATCGGGAAAACCTACTCCCAGGTCATAGCGCTGATCCAGAACAGGTGAGAGCATGCTTGTGCCACAGGGTGGGGGGCCGGATACGCCCTGGGGCGAGACTGCTGGCTGAGACGAAGTGCCCCCTGGGGGCTCAGGCCAAAACGTTCACACTCAAATCCGCCGTCCAGGCCCAGCTGCTCAAAGGTGCGTGGGCGCCTAACTCCCAGTGGGGCCAGTGCTAATCGGGTGCCTAAACACCTTGGAGGAGCTGGGCCCTAGGCCAAGCTTTTCCAAAGTGACGAGTGATTTTTGAGTGGCCACCTTGAGACGCCCCAAGGGGCCTGATTTGCATGAAGTGCTGAGGTCCTGTCCCAGGAAGGTGGGTCCCCATCGCCAGGCACTTGGGAAAAAGCCGCTTATTTATGTGCCCCAGTATGGATTACTGGCGGGTGCCGGATCGGCTGCCGTTCTCGCCCTCCGGCGGGTGTGGGCGCTGCTGCCCACATAGCCGGGACACCACTAGGGCAGCTTAATTCCCCGACTCCTTTGCCCTAAGATGTGGCCTGTGGCGGTGCTGGTGAAACCTGACGTGACAACGAACCAGCCAGATTTGGGGCCACCCTGCTCCTCTTCTCGCCGGGGGGCCAGGGGCGCGGGTCGGCGCAGAAGGGAGTTGCAGCGTTTCAGTCTGTCCAGCGCTGAGTTGATGGATGTGGGAGAATTCCCTACCTCCCCGTCGTTCTCACGCGCTCCCTCACACACCGAAAAGGGAAGAAAGAAGCCAGTGTGTGTGTGTGTCTGTCTCTCTTTGGAGCTGGGATTTAATTAATGACCTGGATTTGTGTGTGTTGCACTCTGTCTGTAACTACTGATTAGATAGGGGAGATAGAGGGGCAAACCTGACCGCGATAGCTCCTAAATATAGCACCTGGGGAACGAACCAAATGAAAGTGATCTGGATACGAACTAAATATAAGATACGGCCCTGGGTGCTAAATGCATTTGGAAAAATACCCGGTGGCAGTCAGCAGGGGCGGGGAATGGTGGGGGCTATATGCTGTCGACTGGCTCTCAAACTGAAATGGGTTTTCCTGGGGGTTTGTTGCAGTTTCTTGCCATGGCTTGTGCTTTTCGCTAGTTGAGAAAGAAATAAGCAGCCACTGTCACCAAAGGAAGAGGGAGTGGTCGTGTGGCTAGAGCAGGGGATGCGGAACCAGAACTCCTGGGTTCCAGGCCTGGCTCTGTGATGGAGCATGGTCTAATGGTTAGAGCGGGGGACCGGCGCTAGGACTCCCGGATTCTATCCTGGTCTCTGGGAGGGAATGTTGGCTAATGGTTAGAGCGGGGGACCGGCGCTAGGACTCCTGGGTTCCATTCTGCTCCCTGTAAGGGTATGTTAGAGCAGGGGGACTAGGGGTCAGGACTCCCAGCCCTTTTCTCGATGCAAGTTCGCAATGGTGGGCTTGGCAGAGCCGAGTCGGGAGGAGGGACTGAAGGAGAGAGGGTGGGCAGGTGCCTCCCGGGGATGGGGAGGGGCCCTGCTCCGACTAAGGGAGAGGTGAGGTGAGCTACCGGCGTGGAGGGGACATGGTGCAGCGGGCGCCTTTGCCAGGTGCGCCGCTCCGGTTAGTGGGCGGCTGTGTTGCCTGTGAGTCAATTCCCAGCCCAGCCCAGGGCTGGATCTGAGAGCTGTTGCTGGCTGTGCACCCCCATGCAGCTAGCGGGGGGGGAGGTGCGTAGCTACGCGGTGACAGGTCCTGTCTTTTGCATGTGGCATTAAGACAAAGTCTTTCCTGTCCCCTGGGAAGGAAAATGGCCCATCGTGGCGGCTTGGCCGCTGTCTCCTCGGGGAGTAACAGCAGCGTCTACTGTCCCGGGCTGCATGTGCGAGCTGCTGCGCTGGCCTGCATGGGCCCTGGGATGCTGGGATCTTCCGGCTCAAACCCTTGGAGTAAAACCGCTGCCCTGCGAATCTCCAGCCCAGTTCTCGTGCACTAGCCCAGGGCCGCGATGCTGCAGATCTGCAGCCTTTAAACGGTGCCGGGGAATTTAACTTTTAAAAAAATAAATAAATAAAACCCACCATCCTTGTTCCTTCGGCGTTAACTCCTACTAATCAGATACCCCCGCCCCTGGCCGCAGCCAGCCAGACACCGGGTCGGTGGGGATTGAACCCTGGACTTCCAGCACCAAAAGCACACGCCTCAGTCACTTGAGCTTCGAGGGGTAAATCCCAGAGCTGCCTGTCAGTTGCAGGCCTAGCCTCCTTCCCAGCCACTCGCACAGCATCAGGTGGGGAGTGCTGTCCTGTGCATCTGGAACCCACCTCGGCTGCTGAGTCCTGGCGTCTAGTCACTGCCTCTGGTCCCAGCGGGGCTCGGCGCCTGGAGACGCGGGGAGCTGGCTGCACGCGGTATGCGGACCCTGACGCGCTCTGCCTTTCCCTCTCTCTGCAGTGACGATGCCTTGGAACTCTCCATCATGCCCAAAGACGAGGACGTCCTCCAGCTGGTGAGCCTTTTGCTGCTGAACTCTCCCGGTGCTGAGCAGGGTGCGCCACGCCCTGCACAGAGCTCTTCCCCCTTACTGGTGGGTGGGACTGACCCGGAGCCCCTAGCCGGGCATTCTTTGGGCAGTGGGGCTGGGCACTGCTGCTCTCCAGGGTACCGGAGCAGATGGCCACATGGGCAACTTGTCATGTGCACCTGAGTCACTCTCATCTTACCCGTGGAGGGGCAGCCGGCAGAGAGAACAGCTCCCCGCATTCAATACGCCTCCGTGTGGCCCTGTTGCATGCTGGGACTTGTAGTCTCCGCAGGGATGCGTCCAGTTATGAAAAGCAAGGGGCCATGTGTTGTGCGGTAGCAGCTTTTCGGGCTGCACGCTGGCCTAGCCCTGCTTAAGCCTTAGCTAGCCAGTATTCTGCAAGGCTGCCAGGCGCGCGTCATGCCCAAGAGGGTGCGTGTGGCCTCCAAGGGGCTGATGGGACAGTGGGAGGCTGAGGGCTGCCAGATCAGCATGACAAGGCTGATTGCAGGGGGAGGGTTATCTGGGCAAACCTGACGTCGGGGCCCTGCTCCAGCAGATTAGCAGCGGCCATCTGTGCGAGTGGTGTGAACCGTGGTACTTAAAATCCCTCGCGCCTGAGCCCCTCCCTCGATTGGGGGTGAGGCTGGTGGAATTTGAGGGGGGGCCTTTAGGGTTTCCTTTAATAGCAGCCCGACAGGATGTCATTTTCTTGGGGCCCTATGCATCAGTTGGGGTTGGTGTGTTCTGAATTCAAGGCTGGTTGCTGGGATTGGGGGTTTGCCAGCTCTGGATGCTGCTGGCCTGTTCACCTCGACGCTGTTTGAAATCCATTCCCGTCTCCTGCCCTGGGCTGACTGGCCACCTCCTCTGGCTGCAGCTGCAAACATCCACCGCGCTGGGAGAGTGGGGAGGGATGGAACGAGGAAGGAGCACCCGGGGCGGGGGGGCAGCGTGCGAGGAGGGAGATGGAATAAAGCCGACCCTGGTTGTAAGTGACAGATCATTGGGTGTTGGGCCGGGGTCGGTCGCCGTGACGTGGCTGTTGGGGGGTGGGATGGAGTTAGGACCATCCCAGATCACCCTGCAGAGAAGAGGCACGTCTAGCAGTGCAGGGAATGAGCCAGGGGTGGGTGGGGGGAGCTTGTCCAGAGATGTGGTGGCTTCACCATCACTCCGAGTCCCTCCGTGAAGATGGGGGACGTTTCTGGGAGACACGCTCTAGTGCCACCCGCGGGTGGTCGGGCTGGGTGTAGGAATCGCCGGGCAGGCTTCCATGGCAGGTCGGACTAGATGCTCCCAGCGGCCTGCCGTTCCGTCCCCGGGCGGGTGGGCTGAGCTGTGTTAAAGGAGCGGTGCTAGCCCTGGCAGAGCCGGGGAGCTGCTCTGTGCCCCAGGGAATGGAGGAGGGACACAAAGTCATCGGAGCCCTCTGACCCCACAGCCTGGCGTGCAGAGCCTGTTGCTGCCAGGGCGCGAAGCAGCACCAGGTCATCAAGGCGTGATTGACACAGGACCCACCCCCTCTTCCCCACTCTTGGATACTGGCTAGGGGGTGGGGGGAGTTTGTCTCCTTGGGCAAGAAAGATCCTCAGTTCGGTCCCCATCCCTTGGAAGCTTGGGTGTCAGCAGTACGCTGGGGGGCGGGGAGGGCAGAGCTCTTGTGATCCACCCGCCCTGAGGCCATACAGAGCAAGGGGAACCCCAAACGTACCCAAGGCCTGCATGAGAGCCACTCCCAGGGCCCCGGAGCGTCACAGGCTACTCTAGAGCCGTCAGGGACGTCCCTGGGTTCCAAACCCTCCGACTTCAGGGCCTTCGCAACCACTGGGGTCAGGAAGGAACGGCTCCCCTGGGCAGGTTCGGGGTTAGTGCCTAATTGCCTGGTTTGTGTTGTCCTGTATATCACAGTAGTGCCAACAGAGATCAGGGCCCCATTGTGCTGGGGGCTGCCCAGACACACAGTATGAGACAGTCCCTGTCCCGAACTGCTTACAGTCGAAATAGACAAAGGGTGAGAGGGGAAACTGAGGCACCAAGCGGGGGCCTGGCATGCCCAAGGTCACCCGGCAGGTCAATGGCAGAGCGGGGAATTGGAGCCCTTTTGCACCTTCCCCTGATACGTCTGGGGCTGACCTCTGGCGGGCTCAGGGTCCCAGCCTAGCTGGGCCGTGGCTGCGATCAGGCGGGGCACGTCCTCTCGAGTTACCCCGGGGATGAATTTGGCCCAGCTCTCCTCGGCCAAGGCACCGGCCTATGGGTGTGTTTGGAGCGAATGGTTTTTGAACAAGGGCGGTGCAGTTTCGTGTGTCTGCCTGCCTGCCTGCGTCTGTCTGTCTGTCTGTCTGTGTGTGTGATGCAGCCGACCTTCCTGGAGGAGGGGAGACCCAGGAGGTGCGAAAGGAGCTGGATGCCAAGGGCCAGCTTTGTTTCCCGGCTCGGATTCCAAAGGAACCTTTGTGTGGGTTTCCCCGGCCCGGTGCTGGGCTGGGGGCGTGGGCATTCCTGCGGTGTGCGGCTCCGGCGGCCAATGGCAGGCCTCAGCCAGGAGCTCCCTGCAGCTCGGGGGGGGGGCCTCTCCTCCCTCCCGCCTCAGGACGTCCCAGTCGCAAAATCCCCAAACAACTTAAAAGGAAAAATTGAGAAGGAAATGTTAGTCTGGGCCAGGGCTGTGCCCGGGGAGTGGCCAGCCGAGGGAGAAGGCTGCCGGATTGAGGGCGGTAAAGAGCTCTGTGCTGCCGATGCCTGTGTTACATGGGATCCCGGTAGTCGGTGCGTATTATATTATTGTTCGATCGTCTATCTTATTCGGATTGAACGTGTTTATTACGGTAGTGCTGGAGCCCTTCGAGAATAGGGCCCCATTGTGCCAGGCGCTGTACAAGCCTAGAATAAGAAACGGCGTCTGTAGAGAGAAACGCCGGCGGGGGGCTCCCTTTATTCCAGTGCAGAGGAAACCTCCCAAAGCTGAGCCGGCTACTCGTAAAGGCGAGCGTTTAACTCTCTGGCTGTAGCTTGAGCAGGTTAAAAAGGGGGAGGGGGGGTCCTTCAGTAGGTGGAACAGTTTGGGAAGGAAGCCCAGGGCTCCGGCAGCCCCTTTAAGCGAGTGTGTCGGAGCTCCCCACCGCTCCGCTCCTTTTTTGGATCAGAAAGAGCTGGTTTGTCATTGCCCAGAAATGCAGCCTTCCCAAGAGCAGGATTCCAGGGCAGCGGGGGGCTGAGAGCAGCCAGGGGCCCTGCTCCCTCCATTGGCCTCTCAAGGACTGAGTGACGAGGCAGGAAGGACCCTGGGGTTCGGGCCCCAGCACGCGTCCAGAGAGAGGAAGCTTTGGGAGGGGGGCTGTTTCCCTCCCCTCTCTCTGGTTCTTGGGGTGTCAGAATCGGAGCCGATTCCAGGGGTTGGGTCCTTTGGGGACAATGCAGTGGGGTGGCTGGAGCTGCTTCCCTTTGGAGAGCTGCTGTGTGGCTCCGGTGCCTGGGGAGCCGTGGCCACTCAGGGGCTCTGTGCCCGGGAGTGCCATGAACAGCAAGCTTTCAGTGTGGTAACTTCATTGGAAACACTTGCCTTCCCTGGCCATGATCGTGGCGCTCGCCCCTGGCTGATTTCCAGCTCTGACTGCACTTGGCCTCCTTAAATCCGCCATGCCGTTTCCATTGCAGCATCACTTTTGCTCCAGGATTATTCTTGTGGCTTTGCTGTGCGGTGTTGACAGGCTGCTGCCTTCCACCCCAGAGGCAGCTGCATTCCAGGTGAAGCCCTGCCCTGCCTGCCTGCGATCCGCTTGGGTGTCTGGAGGAAAGAGGCTGCAGTGTGTCTCTTATCGTCGCTTAGTTGTTAACCCTTTCACTCTGGGAACCAACCTCAGGCCCAGGCATTAGAACACCAGACACATTAAATCATGCCTCAGAAATGCCCCAGCTGGTGCAGGGGGTTAAAACCAGCTTCCCTGGGATAGATGTTGCATGAACGATCCTGGCTGGGAGCCAGGGGCCAGGCTAGACAGCACCACACCAAACCCTGCCTCAGCCTGCAGGCCCAGCTGTGCTCCCCAAGTTCTCCGGGTCTCTCTGCTTAGCAGGGGACCTCTTGCTGTACCGGGCGCCTCTTCTTGTCCAGGCCATTGCTTGGCTCTTTGGCATGTCCCGCTGGATGCAGCCTGCAGCAGCATGGGTCCCGGGTACTCCAGCCCGCAGCTTCCCAGCGTGGTATCCAGCAGGGTGTCTACATAGGCAATGCCCCATGTTTCCCTTGTGTCCCCGATCCTCCCGTCCGGTCTCACCTGACGGCCTGCTGGGAAGCATCGCGGTGCGGTGTCCGGCTGGGCGTCCTCTGTGTGTGTCCTGCTCAAGTGCTTACACTGTGCCCATCACCATGGGACGTGGGCGCCTGCCAGTAAGCCAGGATAGGCATCTCTCACACGTGGGTCTTTTCCTTCTTCCTCGCCCTGCAGGGTGGATTTATCCGGGGCAGGGGAGTTCTGGCTGCTGGGCTCTGGGTTTATATTAGCCAAGGGAGGGCCAGCAATTATGCCTGGCATTTGGCGTGGAGAGTGTTCTTGGACCTCACGGGTGTGCGCGGCGCAGCCTGGGACCAGCCCTTGAGAAAATGCCCTGCGCTGACGCGCTTTCCCCTTGTGTCGAGGTTCTTCATCCCAGAATTCTTACCCCTGCCACCCTCTGGGGCAGCCCTTCTCCCTTCCTCGCGCGCCCCATCTGTGACATGGGGCGGACAGTAAAGGTTGGCGCAAGGTTGTACTCAGGACATGCCCTTGATGATATTTTGGGGTGGTCTATTGGAGTTGCCTCGTCAGAGCCCCAGCTGGTGTAGGTTACAATAATACTTAGTGCCGTTATCTAGTGCCTTGTGCTGGAGGGTCTCGGGGCTTTTCCCAAAGGTGGGCAGGTTTATCCCCATTTTGCAGGTGAGGAAACTGAGGTCCGGAGAAAGGAAGTGACTTTCCCAAATGTACGCAGGGCGTCAGTTGCAGGGCTGGGCTGAGAACCCCAGTCCCTTGTCTTAACCACTGGGTAGCGCTTCCTCTGCTCACGCAAAGACTGTAGAAGGCAGTTTTGTAAAGAGGTGCAGGCCTGCAGCGGGGCGTTAGTTCAGAAATGCCTGCGAAAGATGAGAAGGAAAACCCTGGCGCTCCATCCAGCTCAGTGCGTCATGGAGTATTTTAAGGAGAGGGAACCGGAGACCATGTGAAGCCAGCATAGCCGTGAGCATGAGCAGTGGAGAGCAATGCGGCTGGCAGCGACCGGAGCGTGTTAGTCACTTTCCACCCCAGCAGAAAGCGCGTCTGGAAATGTTTGACATCTGCATGGCAGGGGAGGATTTTGGGCGGCCCTTTCCCAGGCTGATCAAGGCTCTGGGCTGAGATGGTCACTGGTGATTTCAGAGGCAGCAGTTCTGAGAGGCCCAACTTTAGAGACCCGGATTTTCATCATGTGCTAAGCTCCAGCCCCTGAAAATCAGCTCCCTTTCCGGGGTCTCACAACGAGCCCCTCGAAATCACCTGGCCACGGCCCCAGTGGAGGTGGGCACGCTTGGCATGCCCTGCAGATCAGGCCCTAAGTGGGCATTTGCCCCCCACCCACCCTGGTGCCGTGATGGCACGCCCCACTCCTTCCCGCAGCGCTGAGTGCTCCTCCAGCAGGAGCGCCTGGTTCTGCTGGCATTGTGCGTTGTCAGCCCTGCCCTAGAAAGGGGATGAGATCTGTCCCGTCGGAGGGACGTGCCCCAACGGGTGGCGCCGCAGTCATCACGCAGCTTGGTGTTTAGCCCACACCACTGGTGGCCTCACCTCAGCCGTCTGCCTGAGTCTTTATCGCTGAAGGGCCCAGCGGTGCCCATCCCAGTTGGTTCATAAGCTCAAGTGCCTCACAGTCGCGGGAGGCTGGTGCTTGGTCTCTGCCCCTTTTGTACCCTGTGATCATATGAGTCAAGCATGGTGGGCCTGGGAGATCCCAGAGCTGAGTGCCTCTTAGCTGTCACTTACACAGCCTTGGTGTATCAGTGGTGTCCTTGTTTTGAATGACCGCGCCATGGGGCTCAGGTTTCGTCCTGTCCTGCTTCAATTGTCCCCAGGGCCGGCTCTAGGCACCAGCGCTCCAAGCATGTGCTTGGGGGGGCACTTTCCAAGGGGTGGCACTCCGGCTCCTTTTTTTTTT